GATTGACTCCGGCGAGAAAAATTTCCTGGCGCGGCACAGGAACCAACTTTCCTTGCGGTGGACGAAGCTATTGATTCAATGTATTTGTTCCATCTCAGGTCAGCAGACAATGCGAGACCGAGCAGTCGCAAAGAGGTGCTCTTGTAGAGTTGAGCGTCAGACATTCTAATGGGGAGCAGGGATGGTTCTCTCTGGTGAGTAATAGAGAGCAGTTTTGTTTTTGAGGCATTAAAGTTAACCAGCCAATTCCTGCCCTAGTCCACAACCGAATGGAGGTCCTCTTCGAGACAAACGGCCAGGTTAGTTTTGTCGGCGACACTAGATTTGTTTTTGAGGCAGGAGTAAATATTAGTGTCGTCTGCATAGATGCCTACTTGGGAACCTATGACATCAAGAAGATCGTTAATGAAGAGAGCAGAACCGGACTTGAATGGAATTCGAAACCGTTGCATTGATTTCGAATTGCGTGTGAATAATCCTGATTCACATCGGTATCAGTGTGTCGAGTTGAAATTCCAACTGAGACTGTTCCGTACATGTTAATGTCGAATTCTAGGGCATGAATTTGTCACTTTTATCTCGAACTAGAAGTTAAATAATGGTAACTAATTTAAGAGAAGGAGAAATTGTGGATAAGGAGGCACGAATAAGGAAAGAGAATAAGAACAGCCGAGAAAAACGAAAAGAAAAGCGGGGATGAGAGGAAACGGGGGAAGGGGTTGGGAACCACGCCGACCAAAAAAAAAGAAAAAGAAAAAAAAATGAAATAGAGAAGCCAAGAGAGCCACACATTCATTTTCATCTTTTATCGTGGCATGCAAGTAACGAGACGTTTTTATCTAGATAGGTTTCTACAGAAGTATGCTAAGAAAACAAGGAGCGGAAGATGGGAACAACCAGAACGTTTTAATGAAATTCTGAACTAAAAAGAAAATTAGTACATAAAATCAGAGAGTCTGTTTTTGTTTAGTGGCATATCAACACCTCTATGGGTTATTTAATGCCGAAATCTAAATATTTTGAAAATAATTTTATGGTTTCAACTAAATATATTTTAAACGCAATTGTATGCCTTCAACTAAAGGTAAAAATGTATTCTTGGTCATTTTGCTATAAAATGTATTGTTGGTAATTTTTTTTAAATAAAAATGTATTGCTGGTAATTTTACTATAAAAATGTATTTTTATACCTCCATAGTGTTTTGTTTTTGTTCAGGAATTCACTATTTGCTCATAGCTGGGACCCTAACAGGTACTACCACCCAGGATAAGGGTCGATCTGGGAACATAAAAAAACCCATAAAAATGTTTTAAAATAATTGTCAGACTTTGTCCATTTCATAATGTGTGCCGTCATTTGTTTACATTTGGATACGCATCGAGCAGATATGAATGTACGAGAGAAAATCATGGAGAATTCTAAGTTTACAAACAGTAAAATCGACCTCGCTAACCGAAACAGCCCTCTGTGGCGAAATCGGTAAAAGCACGTCAGGCTATATGACGATTCCGTATAGGATACAGGTTCGATTCCTATCGGGGAACGAATATTTTCTATAGAAATTTCTCGGACATTCAGGCCAGTAAATTTTGTTAATACTGTTTATTATAAAAAGAGAATTTACTTAAATATTTGTATCTATAAAAAAAGAATGTATAGACATAAAAATGTCTTAAAATCATTGTCGGACTTTGTTCACTTCATAATATATATATTATTTTGAGTCATAAGTAATTTTCGTTTTGGGGAAATGATTGTAATGGCGAATATATAATCCTAACTTAATAATAAGTGGCAAGTAAGGTTAAATCTGATGGGACCCTAGGATACGGAGATGCTCGATGCAAAAGAGGGCGGATTAGCAAGGATAAATCCCTACTCGATACCAAAAGCTGGACTCTATAGCGGAAAGGTAATGCGATCGTCGGGATAGAGATTCATTTAGCTTTCTTAAAACGCAGAGAAATAGTAAATGCACATTTATATGTCCATCAGCTGCAATATGTCCATAGAGATTTGGTAGAAAAGCGCTCTGCGTTCGTTAGTAGTGAAAATATTGTTTTCCGCCATGAAAACGCAAGGGCCCCATACTGCAAGAATAACACAGGGACAACCATATGGAACCCTGTTTTACCTACTCTAGCCGACTCGCCATATTTATTTGATCTTGCCTCAACCGAACGTTACATTTTTTTAATCGCTTCAAAACACTTTGATGGGGGAGAAGTTTCTCTAATGAAAACCAGATTCAAGTGTTCACATGAAAACCTGCGGAATTTCACTCAAAAGGTTTCGAAGAGCAGCCTGGTAAATGGCCAGAAGTCATTACAAATAATGTTGCATATAGAATTTTTTAATCGTTTCATTTCAGTCAAGGTGATAATGCCGTTAACAGGTTACTGAGATTGAAAGAGAATGAGAAGACTTTAGTGAGAGGATAATAAAATAATAAATAAATAAAAGAACAGGTTTCAGGAAGACAGAAGATGGTGATAATGCCACTAAGACGCAAGGTGTTACTGGGAGTAAAAGAGAATGAGAAGATTTTAGTGAGGAGAAAGGACAATAAAAGAACAGGTTTCAGGAAGACAGAAGATGGCGATAATGCCACTAAGACGCAAGGGGTTACCGAGAGTGAAAGAGAATGAGAAGACTTTAGTGAGGAGAAAGGACAATAAAAGAACTGGTTTCAGGAAGACAGAAGATGGCGATAATGCCACTAAGACGGGTAAGGGGTTACTAGAGGAAAGAGAATGAGAAGACTTTAGTGAGGAGAAAGGACAATAAAAGAACTGGTTTCAGGAAGACAGAAGATGGCGATAATGCCACTAAGACGCAAGGGGTTACAGGGAGTGAAAGGGAATGAGGAGACTTTGGTGAGGAGAAAGGACAATAAAAGAACTGGTTTGAGGAAGACGAAAGATGGTGATTGACATTGGATTTACATTTTTGAAGATTGTAGGTGACAGAAAAGCAAGAAATCGGAAAAGAGTTCGACCTGATTGGTAGCAAGATGTCCGAACTCTTTGGTAGCGCTTAGAAAAGCTGCCCTGTTTATCGGTCCTTGCAGTGCTATGTCGCGTATGAATATTTGTCACTGCAAGCACTTCCGGTGGGCAACCCTGAGGCCACAGTATGCTGTAGATTCCACCACATTTCGACCGGCTTGTATTGCCCTAGAACAGTGTTTTACAACCATTTTTTTTTCACTTCAGGACGCACTTATAGACTAACTAAAACTCTGACGCGTACTTATTTAAAGAAAACGGAGTCGGCCGTAGCTGGAGTCATCGATTCATAATATGTGCTTCGCCAAGGGTACATACCGTTTTGAATTCAAAGTTGTCCTTCTCCTAGACGGGTACCACCCAAGTCTACAGAGCCCAGTCTGTCCTACAATTTATCCATAGATGGAGGGGAGGGAGAAGAAATTGAGTCATATCTTCCCCCAGGATATTAGTACGTAAGTAAATGTAATGACTAGGCTGGAATTCGAATTCTCCAATTCCATATTCCGACCGACAATCCATTGCTATAGTGTTCCTCCCACCTTTAAATTTTTAATAAGGAAAAATTAGTTATGAAAAAAAAAAATGAAATTATAAAGAAGTCTTCTGGAAAAAGCATTTATTTTTAAGACATTACATTTTATATTTAAGTTTGTTTGTTTGAATCATTGGGCTTGAAATTCTTTGTGAATTCTTTAAATGTTAGGCTTCATCTGTGATAAACATCATCTCAATTCCTCATCATTGCATTTAATATTTGATTTATTATTGAAAGATAAATTAATTTAACACCCGGTTTAAAATATCAAATGATAAAGACTTGGCTTAGAAACGGAAGCCATGTTCTTTGTGCCTCTATGTAAAAAAAAAAAAAGATGTTTTAAATATAAAAATAATTCCAAATTACACTTTTGTTAACTTAGGGCGTAACTGGTTACATTTCAGGGCGCATTAGTCCGCCCGGGCGCATTAGTTCACCTGAGCGTACCAATTGAGAAACTAGAGTGAGAAGAAAAGAGAGTTAAACCAAGAGCAAGTAAGATTCAAATGCATGAATTTCGGTAGGGTTAGTTATAAATAATTGACTATTAAGTTTTATACTAGTCAAGTTTTAACTTAATAAAAGTCAACGAGTGAAGAAAAGCAAAAATACTTTTATTACCAACAATTCATTTTATTTCCTTAAGTAGGGGAGAAAAGTGAAATAAATTTAATAGATGAATGGATCTACAACGCACATTTAGTCAAATGTTTGTCGCTTAAGATAAGAATTATCTTTTAGATTTTATTGCAAAGCCACCACTCCTGCCGCAGGACAGGTGGGTTTTGGACGAGAGAGGTCAAACAGATAAAAAAAAGAAAGTATATATTTGCTTGTTCCTAAAGAGGCCGATCAAGAAACAAAATTTCAAACATTCTTTCAATTGATTGATTCGTTTTTCTTTGCGGATTATCAACCCTTTGAGGGTTATTTAAAGCCAGAAAATATTTTTAGTTTGTTTTTGTTTTCAAATAATAATTTAATGATACAAGTCTTACTAATTAACTGGGGGAGAACATTTTGATTCATACCAAATCAGGATTAGAGAAACAAACAAGAAAATATAATGTGGATATAAAGTGGGGGACCAATTCTATATTACGATCAACATGCAAATTGATCCCTCATTTGTAGCCATGGTAGTGTCTATACATACGTAAATGTACATACACACACAATGATTTGAGTGACACAGGTTTTACGGGTTATCAACACCTTGCAGATTATTTAAAGCCAGAAAATATTTTTAGATTGTGTAAATGTTTTTTAGATAATAACTATTCAGTGATATACTTCTTACTAATTAACCCACAGATGGAGGAGAAGAGGTGGATTAAGAGCTTTCCCAAGGGGATTTGCGCGTAATTGAATATAACGAACCCAACTGGAACTGAGCTCTCCGATTAACAATTCCGAGCCATTATTCATTAAACCACCCGCACACCCAAACTTACAGCACTTGGGTATTCCCAAGTGGATACCCATCTAGATACTGACCAGGCTCGACGTTGCTTAACTTTGGTAATCGTTTGGGAACTGGTGTTTGAACGTGATGTTGTCGTAAACTCTTTCTTTCCAGTTAGATAATTAAAATATAAAATACGCAGTGTGAGACCCTCTCTTTAAAAGTTATATATATATATATATATATATATATATATGCCTGAATACCCGAGAAATTTCTTAGAAAATGTGTGCCTTCCGATAGGAATCGAACTTTGATCTGACGTGCCACTCAGCTAAAGAGAAAGCGTCTGCTTAGCAAAGTCGTTCAGGCTAGTATAAGTAATTAATAGTGTTTATTATAAACAGAGCATTTACTTAAATTATTGCATATGTAAAAATAACGTATAAACAGAAAATATATCAAAATAATTGTCGGACTTTGTCCATTTCAGAATATATGACATTTGTTTACGTTAAGAAACGCTTCGAGCAAATATGATCATTCGAGAAAAGATCATGGGAAATTTGTTGTTTAAAAACAGTTATTTGAACGCTTCCTCTATAACTGAGTGACATAGCACGTCAGATCAAATGACAGTTCCGTGTAGAACACAGGTTCGATTCGTGTCTGAGGACATATATTTTTACAAAATTTTTCTGGCATTCAGACCGGTAAATGTAATTAATACTATTTATTATAAACAGAGCACTTAAATAATTGTATCTATAAAAATAACGTATGAACAGAATGAATATATATATATATATATATATATATATATATATATATATATATATATATATATATATATATAGGTAAAATGGAAAAAAAAGTTTGTCACACTTTATCCGTTAGGACTTCATCGGACTGGATTTATTGATGTTGTGACTACGCATGCGCATGAAAGAAAGACGATCATTGATATTTTTTTTCTTTTTATTTCCATCATCTTTGTTTTTAAATATCTCAGATTGTGATTACAGAAAATCTGCCAAGAATGGTTAACAGGTTGTAAGAAACTGGACGTCAATTTACTGTGGATGGCCTAGTGATTAGATACACTACTTACATTAATCGGACTATCATCTTCATCTTTGTCGCCATATTTATTACAACGTTTCGGCCTTTGTACGCTCCGGCCTTATTCAGGTAATTGGAATGTCGAAGTGAACCCTTTATTTCGTTCACTGGGGTAGACTGTTCTAGTTCCATGTCAGTTATCTCCTGTTAATTCCCCTCTCCAAGCTCTCCACCGCCTTAACCGGGTATTGAACTCACACACTTTGGGCCCTGTCACTGGATCTAACTAACGCCTTTAGCCGCTGTGCAATGTGTCCTCAAGGATATTTCTAGACATTTTCATCTTGGTGAATTAATTGTTCACCGTAACTAAACTGATCACAATTTTGTCATAAAAAATGCTACCCTAATTAAAAGAGAAAATAATTTAGTCACGACAACATCAACAAACCAAGTTTGATGACGTCCTGAAGGACGAAACGTGTCACAAATAAACTTTCCATTTTATCTTACAATTTCATCAATATATATAAGCTTCTAATGCTCTGGATGAAGCGGTTTGGTGATGGTAGTCGTGGCTCTCGGAAGCACAGTCCTATTGGTTAAGGAACTTGGATGTGTTCCACCACGGAATATGTGAACGAGCAGCGCGATATCGTGTCTAGTTCGGTACGTCTTCGTCACTGAGGCTTGTTAGTACAGTTGGTATGACGTTTGCCTGTCAATTTAACTGTCCGGGTTGCAATTCTCGATAGTGGATGCGCATTGCTGAGGAGTCCCAAATATGGCCGTCCAGTGCATTCTGGTTTCTTCTAGACTATATAGATAGATAGATAGAGAGAGAGAGAGAGGGGAGGCACGGTGAAGTAGTGGATAGCAGAATTCCAATCGAATCCATTACATTCACTTACGTGCTAATACCCTTGGGAATCCTCTTCTTTTCCCGCCAGGTATGGATAGAGAGCAGGAAAGACTTGGTTGGCAACTTGTCTAGGACAACTCCGAATAACAAAATAACTCTGAATTCAAAACCTGCGGAGGGTCGTTTGGGGACCTTGTGCAACGCGGTTCACCAGGTCTCTGTATTCGGCTCTTCAAAAATGTGGTTGGCTCTGCACAAAGCCTTCACCACTATAAGAAAATCAAATGTGCAAGTGTCTGGCTCTCGGTTACTAGGAGTTGCTTGACCTTCATACGACGAAAAAACTAGGGGAGAATTCAGCATATATATATATATATATATGTATGTATGTACCCAAATGTAAAAGAACCTAGAACAAAACTTCAACATTTAAAACATTAATTTAAAGCAGGGATCTGTACAAAAGTAGAGCAATAAATATTTATTATACACTGTTTCATAAGAACATGTAAGTTACTACTACAAAATTATATATTTTGTTTCGGCGTTTAATAAACTAAATCTCATCAGGTAGTTAATAATGATGGTAATAAACGATTTTATTTAAAATTTATGAAATATCACTTCATTTTTCGTTTTTGGAAAATATTTCCGTGAAAGGTAAAAAAGATTTTTATAAAGAAAAAGGAAAGAAAAAAAAAATCAATAAAAGGAAAAATGAGAGGAAAGAAAAGAAAGGCAAAAGAAAGCATAAGAAATTCACCCTCGTACCAAGAGAAGAGAAAGAAAGGCAAAAGAAATAGATTCAAAAGAAGAGGAAAATTTCCCAGATTCAAAAGAAGAGGAAAGTTAAGAAAATAACATATGAGAAGATGTTGATACGAGTAAGCCTTATGAAATTATCCTACAAAAGAGAATTTAATTTTGAACGAAAATGAGACGCGAACAGATATTAAAACATAAGCTAGAATGTCGCGTTTCAAATATATATATATATATATATATGTATCGATTTGAGATCAAATATGGATTAGAATCCGAAATGAACATGTAGGAAACGTTTATAAATTTAACACATGCTTTTATTTAAACTTATTCTGAAATGAAATATGGAGGAAAAATAAAGTTATGCTAATTTTTTAAAATTGTTGCGTTCTTTGTTTTTCATTTAATTTTTTCTCACCTGTATTTGTCTTGTCAGGCAGCGTTCGTGTGTATTCTTGTGTGGTTGTGTATCATAATTCCAGTTGGTTTTTGCAGAATTTCGTTGATAATGTGTGCGTGCGTTTGTGCGTCTCGTGGGTGTTTTATTTTTCTGGTAGTGTCCGTATGTTAATTGGGAGTTGTTTTGTGTGGGAGTGAAAGAACACTAACTACTGGTGTAAAGTAAATTCCTTCATTTCCACAAAACAAACATCCGCCAATCAATGGCAGTAAATATTGGAAAAATTCCCCAGGGATGAGGAGGAATACTGGTAGTCTCAGGAATGTAGATCTACAGGAGGATACTAAGAATTCCATGGATGGATCGAGGAAGCTTTAAAGAAAATGACAAAAGAAAGAACAATTCTACTCAGAATCAAGATAAGACGACTGAAATTCCTTCTCCGCATAATCAGGAAGGAAGGCCCGGAAAACTTAATCCTCACAGGGCATATTGAAGGCAAGAGAGACAGGGGAAGGACGTGAATAACCTGAAGAGCTTGTGCGAATGAATGGTGGAATACGGGGCAGTGCTTGGGGAAAGGCAGAGAAACTGCGAAAGGCCACACAAGAGAGAATGTTGTGGAGAGCCATGATCGCCTATGTCTTGAAGGGACTCGGAACATAGAAGAAGTGTAACTGAGCTGTCGAAACTCGGCTAACACGATAATCACCTGATCTTTTCTTAATTTATTGAGTATATATATATATATAATTAAATTAAATAAAATATACAGTAGGCAACACGTAAGAGTGTCTGCTATGAAGGAACATCTGAAAAAAGAACTCAATGCCATTATATGAAATGGCAAAGTTTTAATATTTCTAAATAAATTCCCGTTAAACAGTGGCCGACCACGACTAAAGGTTTCATGCTTTTTCACACAATCATCAGCTTTGATGTTTAATGGGAAACTGGGCTCCTTTGCTCCGGTGTGCCTTCTACCCGATGATGATTATACTCGTCTGGAAAAACCTTAGGTGTTTTGGCTTGTAAATGAACAAACCAATACCCAAGGAAAAATAAGGAATAAAAAAAAAGAAGAAAGAACTAAGAACATGTAATTAAGACGAAAACAATCGTCCAGAATCCAAGTTCAGAGTCCAAAGAAAAAAAAACCTCGAACACGAGTAAAGCAAAAATTAACTAAACAATGTGCTCAATACACCAAGTAGAGCAAATCTAACTATGAACCTAAAGATTTGCCTGGCTGTTTAGGTTCATAGTTAGGTATATATATATATATATATATATATATATATATGAAGGAACACACACACACACACATATATATATATATATATATATATATATATATATATATATATATGAAGGAACATACAGTTTAGACAGATATTAGTCGAAATTACATTCAAAAATAGTGCAACTGAAAGACTTAAAACTTTAGGCCAGAAGAAAATTCCGAAGAACGAGAGAAAAAAAGACCAAAAGGTAAAGACCTACCTAAAAGGTAAATTAAAGTACCCAAAATAAAATCAAGTAATAGTTCACTATACTAATAAATTTCTGGAAGCTAAAGGCCACCATTTTGAACATCTCTTGTAATTGTAGATTTCAAAGGTAACTTGTATTAATCACGTGATATCGGAATAAATTTAGTATTACAATATCTAAACAAGTCGATTAAAAGTGGGGACGCATGTTCGAATCCTACCGGAGAGCACATATTTTTCTTTATTAAAATTTCTTCAGCATTCAGGCCGGTAGACGAAAATAAATAAATATACATACTAATAAATAAACGGAGCGTCTACTCAAATATGAGTATCCATTAAAGATAATGTTTAAAGTGATTATATATATATATATATAATCAAGTTAAACATTAACTTATAACGTTATATATATACACATAGTCATCCATAGACTCACTGTTTCGCTGTATCACAGCTCATCAGTGTGGATAGACGTCCGGTTGCCTCTAGTTCGGATCGAAACCCGACTGAATTGGCGTCAGATTGTCGGAGATTCTACCACTAATCTGTTGGCGCACTATATAT